TGATGGAAGTCAGAGGCGGGACACAATGAAGGCTCAGTGTGGGCCTTCCATTGCCTTGCGGTGGCTCTTACTTCACTTCCTCACACTTCCTGTTCCTATTTTGGTTTGGCTGGGCACAGTGCAGCAGAGTTATGGGCCAGAGATATGGCTGCATTCCAGTGAGGGTGCGCGAGAGGGAGACAGGGAGGGAGAGTGAGTTCATTGGGGCCCCTGGAGGGATTCTCATGCTCTCTGAGTTTAATCCAAGCGGCAAGACTGTCATTTTACGATCTGCTCTGTTTGTCTTGTGTTTCCTTTCTGGTACTGTCATATGTCATTAGGCAGTGGTTGGACCCCTTTTAGTGGCTTCTGCATTTGTTGAAAACTAAGATTTAACTAGTTAATTTAATTCAAAACTTCAGTCACTGTAATATTACTACCAAATACACATAATTACATATAAAAGAAAAAGAAAAATGTGTGTTTTTTTGTGATTGCAACAGACACATTTATGGATGCATGCTATATATATAGTGGTCGACCGATATATCGCCAAGGCATTTTTCAAATATCGCATTGGCCGATAAGTTTTTCTGTTTGGCCGATGCATTTGAGGTAGGACTTTTATTTTGACGGCGCTGAGAGCGGCAGCGCCTGAGCGCACACCGCTCACATTCTCCCTTTTGTTCGCCGTCGTCGTTAACAGTTCTGTCTAATACGGATAGAAGTCTGTCTAATAATCCGATAGAACTGTTAAACAAAGGAATTAAAATGTATACAAAAAGTATTATAACGATTGCTTTTATATTATTAGTAATAGAAAGACAAACATTATAATACTTTCTCGTTTGCCGTCAGCATTCAGCAAATACGCATTTACATCATTTAAACAAATCTTTGAATGGCTAATGAAAATTTAATTTCACAAACCTTGCAAACTTAGTCGAATCCAGTTGTGAGATCTTGTGAAGTGTGCATGTGACCTGCATGTGCTCTGCGTTACTTTCGGTCCGTGCAAATTGAATGCTTTAAACATTAAATTTGTGATTTCAAATTATGCTGCGCTTTATGCATTTGCCCAATGTCATATTCATGTCATTTTCACTGTGTGCTGTATGTAAAATGAGTGTTACCTTGGCTTTATTTGAAAAAATATGATTCCCAATGCACACAAACTTCCCAGAATAGCAAGTGCTCTGTTGGTTACAGTTTACTTCCTTTTTAATTATATTTTTATTAAATATTTATTTATTTGTAGAAAATACTTTGTCATCTAAAGTATAAGTATGTTTATTTTACAAATGTATTTTTTAATCCATTTTCAAATTATTTCAAATTTCTTAAATATTAATTAAAATAAATACAATTATATCGGCCATCGGCCACCCTGCTTTCCAAGATATCGGCATCGGCTGTCAAAAAACCAATATCGGTCGACCACTATATGTAAACACATAGGCTATTACATAATAATATATACAGTATCAGCAAGGATGCATTATATTGCATTCAATTTATCAAACATGGCCGTAAAGACTTCTATATTTTTACAAAAGATTTATATTTCAAATAAATTATATTCTTTTAAACTTTCTATTTGTCAACAAATTCTAAAACAAGTATCATGGTTTCCACAAAACCACAGCTTAACCTTTTTCAACATTGATAATATGAAATGTTTCTTGATGCCAAATCAGCATGCTAGAATGATTTCTGAAGGACTGAACACTGGAGTAATGATGCTGAAAATTTAGTAAACTACATTTTAAAATATAAATAGGGAGCAGTTAAATTGTAATATTTCATAATATTACTCTTTTTACTGTATTTGGTGTTTCTTTCAAAAACATAAAAGAAATCATACAGACCAGAAAAGTTGTTTGTACATTTAGATTTTTAACATGATTTGTATTTGTCCAGTTTTCTAAAAGACTGCCATGGGAATTTTCTAAAACTAGATTTTGCTGTTAAACTCTAGATTTTAGTTATTTTTTTCAGCAAACACTTTAAATTGCACTAATATAATACATTGCAGGAGTGAAGTAATATGTATTATAATGTATTTATTTGTTCCTTTATTTACAACTTTGGCACTTGTTTATAGTTTTTAAATGTTTAGACTTTTTCCCATAACAAATGTTTGTATTCAAGAAACAATTAATAATGTTTTATGGTACTATTGCAGTACCATGATAATTTGGACATACCATGATAATACTATGTTTTTTTTTGTGTAGTATCATATAAAGAACATGATCCTTGAATACAGTTATAATACCACAATATGTACTTCTGTTTACAAATATTTACCATAGTATGTGCCAAATTGTAATCCACGAATTATGGATTTTGCTGTTTGAGAAACATCCATTTTAATTATCCTTTATTTTACGAACTAGTCACTGTTTTGTTTTCCCTCAAAATATTGTTGTTTATGTTGCTGTAGTAATCTTAGACTTTTGTTTTCAAATGTGCACTTAACTGGACAAAATATGCTTTACTTTCACAAAGTATACTTATTGGTTGCAATGATAATATCACTAGTTGATTGCTATTCATTCATTTGTGCTATTTAAATTTTTAATTTCAAAGGTCCTGTCAGCCTACTATCTTTGGTGGCACCAATTCCACACTGTCATAAGTTAGTCTAGAATAGATCCCTTCATTGGATGTGCAAAGTATGTGCAATGTCACACAAATCGGCTGCCCTTGTCCACCAAGGGGTGGCATGAAACAAGTTACGAGTTTGTATCGTGGGATCGCATATCACCATCGTAAAGTCAGTCACTGAGTGGCTTCTGTCCGTCGGGATTGGAATAGCATTGGGACCCTCTTTAAAAGAGACCCAGATAAGCCACCCTTAAGTATGTGGACAGAAACTGAACTGGGTGGGGTCAAAAAGTTGTAGCCTAATTATCAGCTCTGGAGAGTTGAAGTGTATTTAGACCTCAGGCTCATTACAGAACGCCAAGGAGTCAAGTTTTCCTTATAATTGTCTCTGCTAGCTGGTCTCTGTTTGATCTTTTTCTGTTTACAAGTTCAGGTTTGTTGCTCCAAGCTAATAGGTTTCAGCTTTTCGGTCTTTCATCATAGTGTCCATCAAGGTATCATATGTACAGCAAAAGATAAACATATGGTTGAGCCATTCCCTCCTGTCCCCGCGCCGGGAACACAACAAAGTTTTGTTTTGTGATTCAGTTTATGGCGTAGTCTATATTTGTGTAGAATGCCATCCCTAGCCACTGTCAACAGCTGCCCGCGGGTGCTATTTAAAGCCCTCTGATGTGTAATATCAGAGGAGTCAGTGTGAAGCGATGGATGCGGTTTCTTCACAGTTCCCTTCACCTGCCCTTTTCCTCACATTTGTAAACCTGCCACTCTCGGGTCACATGCACGGTTAGCGTGTGTGTGGTATCGTTGACAAGTCAATGTACATTTTATGTTTGAAGGTCAAGAGACGTGTTTTATATCCCGATGATGGGCTGGCAGCTCACGGCATATAGGTTAACTTTGGTTTTAAGGGCAACTTTTATGTTGTAGGACATGTCAGAATGAAGATAAATCTAATAGGCTAATCTAAATTTAAAACAGAAACTCAGCCTTCAGTTTCTGATCACATTCTTTTACCGTCAATCACAATAAGACGCTCCGAGTAACTCAATGAATGTACTGTATGTTCTAACTAACTTGTTTATTACGGCTTTAAGTTTGAATTTTGAATGGCATGCTAATCTTCCCTGTTGACAGCTGCCTCGGCCGTCTTGGCTGCAGCCTAATTTGTCAAAGATTTTGTCTTGCAAAGTCCAGCTTTCGTCGCTGTTGTTCGCTCTTCTAAGTTGCTTAGGGGTGTGCTGCTGCCCCGAGCCCAACATAGATCCATAATCACGTGGATTTCCTGTAATGTGTCACTATTCACGGATACTATGTCTCCGTCTGCTGTATTTGGTGACAGATATCTTTCTTATTAGCAAACAGTAGGCATGGGTGGTTTGAATAATTTTATATACGAGTACTCTAACACTGATTTTCAAACTATTTGATGCCAAGAACCCCCAAATATGATGATGATGATAATCTTTGCAAAACAGTTCCCTTAAAATATAGGCCTAGAGGTGGTTATATATTTATGAAGACCCATTTATACTGTTTTTTTTATTAAAGACCTGCAAAATGAAATAATTTGCTTTTATATTCTTACTGTATTAAAGCCAAAATAAAATCTTAAAATATTTTCTGGGAAATATTGACTTATTATTAAAAGTGTCTTTTCTTCTACTACTTCAGAGCAGTTTTATAGTTAACTTTAGAGTTAATAGTATTCTATATTTATTTTATTTTTTAGAAAAAAACTTTTTTTCTTAAATTCACTTTTTTGGGGCACAGTCGTATTACAACCATCTGTGCAAACAAATTGGGCTATTGAAAATGTAAAATGAAGTAAAATGCGAGATTACTTGAGGAATTCTTAGCAGAAGGACAATCAATTTGTGCTATTTAAGTAGTGTTTTTAGTGGTTGACTAGTTAGTTTGAGGGCATGTCAGACAGATATTTTGCATACTTGTTCTGCACTGTGTTAGACTCAAAAGCATTGTTGTTCTGTGTCGTATGTTGAAGCTCAGATTATGGAGTAAGTTTTGGGAAGTTTTGGGAAACTCATGGGTGTGACACACGTGTTTCCAATTAATAAAACCTCCACTCCACCCTTTCAGAAATCCATATATCTATACAGTTAAAACACCAGTTACGCTAAGGCTTTCAGTGAAAGATTTTACAACAATGTAAGAAGCCTGCTTGTTTTAATCAGTATCTCAAAATGTGACTTAGACATGCTTTGGATTTTATTTTGATGTTTGCATTTAAGACTAGTCATTACCGGTCATTTATATGTGCATACGAGTACAGTCATCTCATAATGAGCATAAGCTGTCGGAACTAGTCGAGTGTATCATGCATGCAAAGATATATGACAGTGAACAGCAGGGTAGCTGTTGGTGTGATACGATTGCTTCTCGTTTCCCAGGTACCCCTCCACATGCTGCATCCTCATCGAAGAAACCCCGCAGTCGTGGCATTTTCCACAGTCTCTTCTGCTGCCTTTGTCATGACGAAACGGATCACGTGCCCGTCAATAACAACGCCCCGCTGCTGGTGGAAGAGAACGGAACCATCTCAAAAGTAAGAGTTATTTCAGTTTTGGTAACTTCTTATTTTGACGTCCCGCCCTGAACTCTCTAATGTTTTCTGAATACCGGCCAGCTCGTGGTTAACATGGCCGAGAGCCACATGATCAGCTGTGATAGTGAGGAAACCAAAACCTCAAGTTAGCTTTTGCGCAATTCTTTTCCTGTTTATGAGTTGTGACAGTTGAATATACTATGATGAGAATTAATCTCATTTGTGCTCATGTAGAGACCCTAACTTACTCTAAATCAATGTTCTAAATTTATTTAGCAAAAAGTAAAGCTATCTGTTCTTATAATTCCCAACTAATTGAAAGCCGATATGAAGGCATGTAAAATTTTTTGCCACTCATAATTAAATTGAACTAATTATTCAGGGGAAAAAAGCATGGCTGTGAACAACTACGAGCAGATCGGGTGTCAAGACGCTGTAGGTGTCGGATTCAGATTTATGCCTTACTTCAGCTTTTTATAGTGATTTGATACACTAGGAGTTATTTGTCACGTCTCTGAAGCACCAAAATAAATCGGTAGGTGTCCTGAAGGCGGGCTGAGTGCAGGGTTCAGTGGAGTCTCAACCCCTCCGTCATGTCAACGTGCAAATTGCTGCTGGTGTCTCAGGCAGGCTGTGGGCTCAACGAATCCCTTCAGATCTCTGACTCTACTCGCAGGCTCTCTGGAGAAAGCAAACCTATGGGAGAATGTTTGGAGTGTTTCCCTTCTTCTGACCTTTGCCAGTGTTTTGGAGAACGGATGTCTTTTTTCGAAAGCAACTTTACTAAATGCTTGGAATCCTCTGCCTTTTTTAAAAGCGAGCACTCAGAAGTAAACATGCCCGCTGAACTGTGCTTTGGCCATTCTGAGGTCTCTGGACAAGGAGATCCTAAAAAGGAAAACCAGTCTTTGGAACGTGCTGCAGAATTGTGCACAGAACAAGAAGCACTTATTGAATCCGCTGCACACCAAAACGCCATTGAGGTGAACGAGGCTGATGGAATTTGCATTGAAAAGGGTCAAATCAATGGTGAATTTTCAGATCAGTCTTTTTCATCTGGATACAGCTCTTTGTTGGACAACTGCTCTGAGCACAGTGAGTGTTTTGAAATAAGCAGTTCTTCAGTTGACTTGGTTGAAATAAGCCAGAATGATGAACTTAGCATTGCATTTGAGCCAAGTGATCAAAGTGAGATTTCTGAACATGATGCTGAACAGTTAACTTTATCCGAGATGAGCCTAGATGATTGTGAGTTTCAACGAGATGATGCTGAACAACAAGATGATGCAGAACAGATAATTTTATCTGAGATGAGACTAGGTAATTGTGACTCTTTTGAACAACATGATGCAGTACAGTTAAACTCATCAGAGATGAGCTCAGACCTTTGTGAGTTTATTCCACAAGATGATGCAGAATCGGTAACTTCATCTGAGTTTAGCCCAGACTGTTTTCAACAAGATAATGCAGAAGAAATCATTTCATCCGAGTTGAGCTTAGGGGATTGTGAATCTTTACCACAAGATGATGCAGAACAAGCAACTGAGGGAGACCTTTGTGATTCTTTTCTGCAAGCTGATGTTGAGTCCTCACAATTAGATCCTTCAGATCATGAAACGCTTTCTGAATGCGATGCAGAATATCAGGACCAGCACAGCGAGTGTGAAAACAGCAGTGCTGAAGACAACTTATCTGATCAAAACAGTGTAGTTGAACTAGATTCTGAAGACTGCGAGACATCTAAACAGTCTGAGCTTAACAATCAAAACAAGCTTGATAACTACCATGCCACACATTTCGAATCCCCTGAACTGTGTCAGGACTCTAAAGAAAGTAAGCCATCTGACCACTGTGTGTCCCTTGAGCACACACAGCTTACTGGGCAAATGGACACCACTGATGACAGCCTAGATGATAGCACTTGTTCGTCGGAGAACTTTGATTGTAGTCGGACCTTTGACTCCCCAACTGAAGGGCATCAAGACTGTAACCGACTCTCTGAGCACAGCGAATCCTCTGTATGTTTTAAGGTTTTAGAACAATGCACAAGCTGTGGAACGTACTTTGAGAAATGTGATGTCCGTGAACAATGCACTCCCTCTGTGCCCACTGACCATTCTGAGGGCCCACATCAAAGCAGACTTGCAGAAAAATGCCCAGAGTCTTCAAGAACACATAGCTCTGTCTTTCACAACCCTGAATTAACCAAAGAAAATTTGCCTAATCATAGCAGCAAAACTGAATTTAGGAAACCATCTCAGTCCGATGCCATGTTTTCTGGATCAATGGAAACCTTTGAGGCTCGGTGGCTTTCTCAATTTCTTACTGATCTTTTGAGGCATAATAAGGAGATTACAAGTCCTGCTGCTGAAATCAGTGAGTCAAATGGAGAAGCAGAAATCCCTGAAGTTGAAGCTTTGGACAACTGTAGGAAGCTCTGTAGAAAGTGTGACGACTTGGAGAAGGGGAAATGTTGTAATGATGAAACTCTTCAATCTTTTCAACTTGGTGATGATGAGGAGGCAAGGTTTGAACACCACTCAAATGTGGACATCTCCCTGGATGCAGTGACCACAGCAGCAGGTTCTTCAGATGAATTGAGTGAGGAGGAGTATGGTGACTGCATGGATGGTAAAAGTCAAGGGAGCTCTGAAACTGAATCATTCAAAAGTGTTGTTGAGTCTGAATCATTTGAAATCTTCTCAGATCAACCATGTGATAAGGAAAACCTTCTTGAAGTGGATGAGTCCTTGATTCAAATTCTACAGCCAGATGAGTACCCTGATGAAGGTGATGCTGAGAATTTTGGTATGTATACACAGGAAGGTTTAGATGCTTGTGAAGAAGAATGTGAGATTGATTCTGAGCAACAAGTGACAGGAAAGAAAAGCAGTAAAACATATGCTGAAGCTGTAGCTGTTGGACTCCCAGTTGACCCGGGTCAAATCCACGAATGTGCCAAACCAGATGAGGTCCATGAAACTGAAGATTATGGGCCTGGTTTCATGGATGAATGCTTCTCGTTGTATTCTGAGAGCAAGGATGATGAACTTTGCTATAGAAATGGAGAGGTCGCTGAACCCCATGTTGATATGCAAGTGTCCTGTGTTGCAGCTGTTGAAAGTTGTGGACTTGAAGAAGTCATTGAAAATGCTTTTGACAGTGTATCTGGAGATTCCACAGAATTGTGTGCTGTGAAGGACACATTTCAAGGAGCTGATACTTTGGAATCACCTGTTGAAGAAAGTACATTGTTGGAAAATGAGGTCAGTCAGGATTTAACCGAAAAGGACAGTTCTGAGAACACGGAAAACGTACAAGATCTCAGTTCTGTGGTTGAAATCGATGCAAACAAGGAGACCAACTCTGACTTTGATGAAATTGAGGGGGCTCATGGACCTTGTTGTGGAGAGATTGAAACTACTGAAGATGAAGAAACAACCCTGTTTGACTTTGAGGATGTTGTGGGATGTTCTGAGGAATGTGATGAAGGTAAAGAGACCCCAACTGCTGATCAACTGGTCTCTTGCGCCTTTGAGGAGCAGTCAAACACAGAGAATGGCACTCTTTGGGTATATGATGGTCAGCAAGAGGCCAAAAGCGAGCCAAAAGACACCTCTGGGCTCCTTCATCCTCCTGGAACAGATGGTCTGTCTGAGAAGAACCAGAAAAATGAAAATTTAGAGGAACTTATACATCAAGTTGCAAGAAGTGAAGCATCTGAACAAGACACGTTATTTAAGTCCGACCAAAAAAACAGTGATCAGAGTTATTCTTATGAGGAGAGTGATGTATCTGAAGATGAAGAGTACCCAGAGGACTGTGATTGTGAATTCTGTCTTCCACCCATAGATCAGGTACCTTTTTCTTAGGGGAGACACTTGCTAATTTATTTTAGCATGTTTTTGAAAAGCCTATGCATGAATTTGATAGTTCAATGTCAAAACTTTTTGCTTGTAAAAGAATGCATTCAGTCTGTTTTGAGTTTGCCAGACATTCCTGCCATCTTGGTTTATGCTTCACATTTTAATTAGTATGAAGTCAGTAGCAACAGAACTAAAATAAGATGCCATGCTGGATTCTGATTCCATGTCATATGTTATGTTATTTAAATCAGTGTCATCTGTACACTCTCCGACTTGGTAATGAATCCGGAAGAGCCTGCAGGTCTTGAGATACTCATTCTGTAAACATAGGACAGAGTCGGTTTCAGACTCTGTGTGCACTGTGTACTTTTCGATGAAGAATTGGTTGGCCAGCAGCTTTGCAATCCCATCCCAGCTGCAGTGAGTCACTTGATCTTCCTCGGCTTGTGGAATGCTAGTGCTAAAAGAGCTACCTTATGCCCCCTTATGGATACTAATGTCTATAACTAATACACCCTGTTTGGGTTAGGCTGTATGACCAAAGATTTACCATGGTGTATTTGCATAATGTTAATTGTGAACTACTGTGCAAAATTTGGAGTCAGTGAAATTTTTTTTTTTTTTTTTTAAAGAAATTAATACTTTTTTTTCAGCAAGGACAAAAATAACAGTAAAGACTTAAACTGTTAGAAAATATTTGGTTTAAGTCTACCAAATTTGGTTTCAGCACAGCTGTTTTCAACACTGATAATAATAAGAAATGTTTCTTGAGCACCAAATGAGCATATTAGAATGATTTTTGAAGCGTTGTGTGACACCGAAGACTGGAGTAATGATGCTGAAAATTCAGCTTTGCTCTAACAGGAATTAATTACATTTTAAAATATATTAAAAAGAACAGTTATTTTAAATTGTAATAATATTTCACAATATTATTGTATTTTTGGTCAAATAAATGCAACTTTGGTGAGCAAGAGATTTCTTTAAAAAATGTATACTGACCCCAAACTTTTGAACGGTACTGTACATGCTGTATGCTGTTTTATTTTTAAAACACGTTTTATGTTTTTCCGACAGTTCAATGGAAAAACTGTTTATATATTAACCATTTGGTAAAGACTTTTTTAACAGCCCAGTGAATTAAATAATTGAAAAAAAAAAATTTCTATTTAATTTCTTTATTTTGTTGGAATAACAAATGAAAGTATGACATTGTCTATACCGGAGTTAAAACAAAAAACTCAAACAGTTAAACTAGTATTCCAAAACTGATAATTCTTTAAAATTTTCTTGAAATTCTAGACACGCCATACATGCTTCGTGATTTGCATTTTTCCATGTGACTTTATAGCTCTAAATAATATGAAGCAACCCTGTCCACCAATAAATATTTAGGCAAAGGTATAGAATATCAAATAAAATCTTTACCAGTTGACACATTTTATTGTCCATCATACAGTACATACCGTCACACCAGCCAGCCCTACATATATTACTCATAAAACTAAATTTCTTCTCTACTAACAGACTAGAGATACATAATATAAGATACAAAACATAATAAATTATTTTGTATAGCTGACATGCAATTCCAGTCTTTATATGTATGCTAATGTCTGTGACATAAGAGCCTATACTGTATTTTTTACTGTAAAATAGCTTCTTGTTGTAAATGCCAACGTGGCTACTTATTTACCAGCGTCCTTGAAATGTTTATTACAGGTCCCAGCCAAACCACTTCTTCCACAGATAAAGTCTAAAGATGTAGGGAAGATCTGTGTAGTCATTGATCTGGATGAAACACTAGTCCACAGTTCATTCAAGGTAAGTCAATGTGTTGAGCCCTCTTTTTCCATCACTTTATAGCTCACAGCCGGTGTGAATTAACTATATATCACATGTGCTGTTGGCAGCCCAGCTAATCATCTCATGGATATGGGATACACTTGACTCAAATGTTATAGATAGATATTTCACACCATTGCATGCATTCACATCACACACTTTAAAGCTGAAGTGTGTCATTTATCTGATGTTCTCCTGTTCGGGCTTGAAGGGACAGTCCACCTAAAAAGGAAATTTCTGTCATCATTTACTCACTAATCGTCATGTTGTTCCAAACCTGTAAGACTTGCTTTCTTCTTCAGTACTCAAAATAAATATTAAATAAATATAATTTCAGTGTTTCTTGTCTGTACAGTGATAGTCAGTTTGGTCCAGTGTTGTTTTGGACACCACCGACTTTGATTATATGGACAACAGCAGCTGAAACATTGTTCAAAATATTATTGCAGACGAAAGCAAGTCTTACAGGTTCGACATAAAAGAGAGTAATGATGATGACAGAAATTGCATTTCTGATTGAACTATCCCTTTAATATGCATAGACAAGTATAAGTAAGTTGATTTCCCTGAAAAGTGTAAAAACTGTGGCTCTGCGATGCTATCAAAACGCTGCTTTGTTTGTTTGAGCAGCCTAACCAGCAGCATAAACTCAACCAATGGCGTTAGTTTGAGATCAGAATTTCTGTTTGTCCAACCAATCACAGCTGGTGGGAGGGAACATGTTTGAGTCTATATAGTATATTAATTATACATTATACAATTATATTAATTTTTTGAAATAAGAATTGGTGACAGACATTAGTGTTGCAGAATGCTCTAATGAACATTTTTACTGTTTTAGATTCTTATTTTTAAGTGACTTCTACTGTAAACAGTCGCCTTTTATACAAACAGAAGGACACTTCCAGTATCGGTTAAATCTGTTCTCGCATGTAAATGTAGACATGTTTTTGCAGGCATAATGCAACAGTTTGAACCAATGTAATGTTCTTATGCAATGTAATGTAAATAATGTTTGCATTGTTACAGAACACTTGCAATGTCTGTCACAATATGTTTAACAACCAAGAACACAATATGAAGTGTCATCTATTGCTAAATTGCCTCCACTCTTTTTAGATACCAGACACAAGTTATTTTCCGATCTTCAGAGTTAGCAGGGATTGTGCCAGTGTAAATACAAGTAAGCTTATTTGAGCTGGAGGAAAGCATCAAATTGTCTCGAGAAAGTGCAGTATGCTACTTTTGGTTCAATGATTCTGTCTAATGGCGCCTTTACTGTTTGTTTTTACAAGCATGCATGCACTTTTCCGGAGAAATGCGGCATTCCCTGATTTGACTCTTTATGGAAGAAATGTTTTCTCCCGCTGCATGACATCATAAATGTGCTATGTGCACAATTTGGAAAAGCCAGGAAGAAAAGGAATGTTTTCCTCTTGGGAGTGTCAGCAGCGACACTGTTCTAATGACTCTGACTACTCGCAATCAGAAAGTCAACTTGAAGTATATTGAATGTATTAAATATAAGCTGTTTGTTTAATAATAATTGTTTAATAGTTTATCCAAAAACTCTGTCATTATTTATTTAACCCCCATATTTCAAATCTGCATGTTGCTATTTTTTTCTTTCTGTGGAACACAAAAGGAGAATATTTTGAAGAGTCTTTGTGGAGCTTTGTACTGTGCAACAGTTCATAGAATATGGGTTTAGTAGACTGAGAATACTGCAAAGTCTTGGCAACATTTATGTTTTTTTTTTAAGCTTACCAGCTATGGTCATTATAAACTGCTAAGTAAAGATTTTTTTTTTTAAATCTTCATTTGCGTGCCACTGAAAATGAACAGTATGCAGCTTTGGAATGACTTGAGAGCGAATAAATAATGACAGTTTTCATGTATGGGGTGAAATCCTTTCAAAGTGAGTCAGAATTAAAACAAGTGTGATCTTTTAGCACAAGACAGCATAATGTTACTTCATGCCACATTTGTGAATGTAGGTCACACTGTCCTGACATCTCTGTAACACATAAACGTGATTATCTCAACATTTGAGATTGAGTTTCTAGACCTATCTAAAGAGCACTCTCAGGTTCTGTAGCAATGGTCTAAATAATGACTGGAGCCTGTTGGGTGTTTACACCTCATGTTCAATAATATCTTGTCAGTCATTGATCCAGTCACCTGCAATATAGATTTAATTTATTTTCTTCTGCCTGAAACGGTTCAATCAGTTTTATTGTTTTTTTTTTTCTTCCTAGCCGGTAAACAATGCTGACTTTATCATTCCAGTGGAAATTGATGGGACAGTACATCAGGTGAGCATAACCTGTTCTCATACAAAGGGTGTTCATAAATAACTAATGAGTTGAAAATCAGGCTATGTATGAAAGTGAAACTGTTGTAGGCCAGCACAATCAATTGGGGAAAAAAGATCAAGATTATAACTGCTGTTTCAATAATGAAAGTTGCCAATTTTAATTCCAATATCCTCGAAATTTGATGACACCCTGAACAACCTGCTTCCTAAATTAAACATTTTCATAAATAAAAAGTGTGTGTATATGAAGAGTTAATTTGTAAAAACCGATAAATTGCCGATAAAAAAATGCCGTGCATTATTCTCCACATATAGTGCGATCTGAACCCTAAACACGTTTTGTCAAAAAAGCTGCTTTTGTCCACTTTCAAGGCATCGCGAGTTCACGTTTTACTGCAGAAGCCGACAAGCGCCCTTGTTGTTTTTGAACAGAAGCCGATAAGTCCATTTTAGCGAATCAGCGCGCTGTATTCAGGTCAGGTGACAAGGCTACTTTCACTTTGAAAAGACGTGCTAGCTGAGAGGAGTTTCGTCAAAGCTGACTACAAGTGATCGAGGATGGATAATTTCGACGAATTTGATGAACCTGTGATATCTTCTTCAGGGCGAAAAAGGAAAATAAAAGCCGAAACATTTTCACGGAACCTTGCAAAAGCAGCGCGTTACAGTGGTGAGGGAAAAGCTCCGTGTATTGCGTGTAATCACATCCATACAGTTTATGATCACAACAACAACAACGTTTGTCAGGCATCTACATTGTCATCTGAGGAGATTACAAAGATTAAACAAGTGTTTTTTTTAACTCTAAAACATGAAATGTGGAGTTACCTGCTTTTGCCAAAAAACGACTGTTGGGAGTTACCTGCTTTTGCTATAAAACAAACTTTTAATATGTAAAAAAAAACATACTTTCAATTAACTTTTAATTTTGTAAATTAAAGTTATTATTACTTAATCAAAACAACCCAACTTCAGTTTGATTGATATTACTTGGAATGCGCAATAAAAAAAACGTGATTTCTGAAAAAAAAATTAAAATGGGAGTTATCGGTTTTGCAAATGAACTCTTCATATATAAATAATGTAATTGTAACAAAAATATATTATATATACAGAATACAGTCTTATATTCTGACTGTACAGGAGAAAAATAAAAAAAAATTCTACCCACTTTGAGAAGTAATGTTAGATGTATAAACCTGGAAATAAGCATTTCTTCATATTTGTTTGGTGCTTTTTATTAAATATAGTTTGAGAGCAGTTTTACAGATAACTTCCAGTCCTAAAAATACATTTTGTATTTTTTTTTTCTCAAATTTTCTACAGACCCCGTAAAACACTTTTGCTAACTCCTTGGTGTTCACAGACTCCAGGTTGAAATCCTTTGATTACAGTGTTCAATCAAAATAATATATGTACATGTTTTGGCAATGGATGGGAATTGTAGCCAATCATAGCCCATTATATGCATGACTGCAGTGGTGACTTATAAGGTTTTAAATAAGTCTGTAGGCCTGTCATTACTCATCCTAATTAGATGAACGTGTTATGTTTCACTTCTGTTCTTAGTGTGTGAAACGCTGACGGTTTTGTTGATTATAATGTGAGCATTGTCATATTTTCCTGTTACTTGCTTTCTTTGTAAAAAAAAAAACAGCGTGCTGTTGTCCCACACAGAATAAGTATTTATTTTAATGCAATTTCTGTTCATTAGAATTAACAATTGAGATTACATTATCAAAAAAATTATTGATATAGTTAAGCTTCATTAATCACACAGTCCAAACTAACCGGTGACCTCTATTATTTGTCTGTCTGCTGTTGCGCAGTGTTGAACAGCGCAAACTTTTTCTCTTGTTTACGTATTGCCGCTTAACTCGGTTGTGCTACCTGACAGTAGCGTTGCCATCTCCGCTGATGGGTCAGAGCAGCAGGTGGCTATTTCTGGGTCCTGACTAAATGGAGTAGCAGTTTTACAGATAACTTTCCAGTCCCAAAAATACTACTTTTGTTTTGTTGTTTTCCTCAAATTTTCCACAGACCCCCTAGAACCCTTTTGCTGACTCCTTTGTGTTCCCAGACTCCAGGTTGAAAGCCCTGAATTACAGTGTTCAATCAAAATAATGTATTTACATGTTTTGGCAATGGATGAGAATTGCAGCCAATCATAGCCCATTATACGCATGAATGCAGTGGTGACTCATAAGGTTTTAAATAAGTCTATAGGCCTGTCATTACTCATCCTAATTGGACGAACGTTTTATGTTTCACTTCTGTTCTCAGTGTGTGAAACTGGGATAATCTGCTGTAACAGCTTTGTTGATTATAATGTGAGCATTGTCATATTTTCCTGTTACTTGCTTTCTTTGTAAAAAAAAAAACAGCGTGCTGTTGTCCCACACAGAATAAGTATTTATTTTAATGCAATTTCTGTTCATTAGAATTAACAATTGAGATTACATTATCAAAAAAATTATTGATATAGTTAAGCTTCATTAATCACACAGTCCAAACTAACCGGTGACCTCTATTATTTGTCTGTCTGCTGTTGCGCAGTGTTGAACAGCGCAAACTTTTTCTCTTGTTTACGTATTGCCGCTTAACTCGGTTGTGCTACCTGACAGTAGCGTTGCCATCTCCGCTGATGGGTCAGAGCAGCAGGTGGCTATTTCTGGGTCCTGACGAAATGGAGAAACCCTGACTGGCTTCTGAGAAGTCACTGGCCATCAATCTCTCCCCAGAGCGCGTCTCCTGCTCTCTCGGGCAGACAGTATGGTGCCTTGGCCCTTTAAAGGCCAACGGCCCCGGTTACACCACGGGACTGAAGACGTCTGACAGACAAGGCTTTGGCCTGTTTCAAGTAATCCAGGATAGGCTTGTGATGTCAGGAAAGCCTATTCGGGATGACTTGGTTCAGGAATGAGACCACCAGCTTCATAAACGAGCCTGGCTGACCTAGTTGTTAGAGTAAAACAACCCGTTTTATTGCGTCTCTTAAAACAGGGTTTATCATTCTATGATCGTATAAAACGTTATATGAAGCATCATATCAAGATGCAGGCTAATATAAATCTTATTTATTTAGTAGTGTCTTCATGACTGTGACCTGATTTAGCGCCGGTTTTTCTCATATGCTGGTTTTAACCCTTCAGATAGTAGCTGAATTGAATCCTTTGCAGGAATGACTCATATTTTAACTGTCCCTGTAGGTGTATGTGTTGAAGAGACCTCATGTTGATGAGTTCCTCAAACGAATGGGAGAACTGTTCGAGTGCGTGTTATTCACTGCAAGCTTAGCCAAGGTAATAAATGCTAATGCACTATGCAAGGTATTCAGTATTAAGTTTATTAATAAATAGGATTTAACAGCACTAACAGTATGTATCAGTTTATAGATGTTACAAGGTTCTGTGGAAAAATATTTATTGGACTTTTGCAGACCTGTAACAAAAATACAGGTTAATACATTTATTTGATCTGATTTCATAGATAATGTTATTTTTTTAGTCAACTTTTTTTTGTAAATTGTTTTGCTGTTCATTTTTTTAAATATATTTCTTAATATCTTATACCTTAATGTCATTGACTTTTTAAATTTATGACTTTTTACTCTCTCTCTCTATATATATGCTCTTTATTCTATTTTAATATACCTTAATATATCTTACGTCTCAGTAATTGATTTTTTTTTTTTTACTTTTCACTCTCAATATATCTTACTATATCTTGGTATATATCTTATATCTTAGTCACTTATTTTTGTTTTTTATACTTTTTTCTCTATACATATCTTCTGTCTTAATGTGTGTTGGTATACATCTTATATCTTAGTCATTGATTTTTAATTTTTTTTTATTTTAACTCTCTCTATATAAGATATATTATATAATATACACTACCAGTCAAAAGTTTTTGAACAGTAAGATTTGTAATGTTTTTTAAAGAATTCTCTTCTTCTCACCAAGCCTGCATTTATTTGATCCAAAATACAGCAAAAGCAGTAATATTGTGAAATATTTTTACGGTTTAAAAAAAACTGCTTTCTATTTGAATGTTTTAAAATGTAATTTATTCCTGCGATCAAAGCTGAATTTTCAGCATCATTACTCCAGTCTTCAGTGTCACATGATCCTTCAGAAATCATTCTAATATGCTGATTTGCTGTTCAAGTAACATTTATTATTATTATAATTATTATCAATATTTAAAACAGTTGAGTAAATTTTTTTCATGATTCTTTGATGAATAGAAAGATCCAAAGGTCAGCATTTATCTGAAATAAAAAGCTTTTGTAACATTATACACTATACATTCAAAAGCTTGAAGTCAGTAATTTTTTTTGGGGGTGTAAAGAAATTAATACTTTTATTTAGCAAGAATGCTTTAAATTGATCAGAAGTGATGAAAAAGACATTTAATGTTACAAAAGATTTCTATTTCAGTTCTATTTCTAAACTTTATATTCATCAAAGAAACCGGAAAAAATTCTACTCAGCTGTTTTGAACATAATAATAATTAATGTTTTTTGAGCTGCAAATCAAAATATTAGAATGATTTCTGAAGGATCATGTGACTGAAGTAATGATGCTAAAAGTTCCGTTTTGAAATCACCGGAATGAATTACATTTTAAAATATATTCAAATAGAAAACAGTTATTTTAAATAGTTTAAATATTTCAAAATGTTACTGTTTTTGCTGTATTTTGGATCAAATAAATGCAGGCTTGGTGAGCAGAAGAGAATTCTTTAAAAAAAACAAACACTTTTGACTGGTAGTGCAAATATTTATAGATTTATTAATGTATTCTTTATCTAGTCATCACAAACGACTTAAATCTTAGAATCACACCATATTGTAGAGAGGTGTTTCCATGTTTTGTTCTTGATACTGACACTTTTTTGCCCCTCTGTCTAACCGTGTCCATCACATTACCGGCATTCTGTTTTTCTAGTATGCTGATCCCGTCTCGGATCTCCTGGACAAATGGGGAGCTTTCCGAAGCCGTCTTTTCCGGGAATCTTGTGTGTTCCACCGTGGAAATTATGTCAAGGACCTAAGCCGTCTAGGCAGGGATCTCAACAAAGTCATCATTGTGGACAACTCGCCAGCCTCCTACATCTTCCACCCAGACAATGCTGTATGTTACTGCCTTCCTTTCTTCTTTTGCACATATAACTGCTTTGGGTCTCACGATATATTATGCGCAGTGCTTAGCCTGCTAAACCTTCTGAGAATTTATTTGTCAATTGTTTGTTGCTTTGTCCCACTATTCGTATCATTTTTTTGAACAGAAACTCTTTTCTGTCATGTTTAGGTACCTGTAGCCTCCTGGTTTGATGACATGTCTGACACAGAGCTGCTGGATCTCATCCCTTTCTTCGAGAGACTGAGTAAAGTGGATAATGTCTACACTGTGCTGAAGCAGCAGAGGACTACTAGCTAGCACGACACTAAGGGCAGCTGTCACTATGGGGCCAGGGAGGCTGCTGGGCTCGGAGCACCACACTGCTTCCCCCTAACAGGACCAGCCACTAGCTCAGTCCTCATCACCTACCCAGAATTCCATTCACATGATGTTTGATCGAGAAAAAGAAGTCGAATGACAGAACTGTGAAGGACTGCTTTAGCTATTACGTGCATAAAATAAGAAGCTGATTGTTTTAACACTCAGTTGCGTGAATCTCAGGAAAGCGAGCAAGAGCATATTTCACCCTGAAGTCAAATAATAGAAATTATATTTTGCTTAAAGAAAATGAAAGAGATGCTTTTTTTATGCCTTTGTGACATTATTTTGACAACTAAGCACATTCCCTCGAAATTTTGCCATAATGCAAACTTATATTTACTGTAATGTGTAAAAAATATATATATATTATTTAAATTGTATTGTATTTATACATTATGGTTGTATTTGTTGGACTGCCTTTAATTTATGCTTGTTTATGCAAAAAGTACTGTATTACAGTAATCTAATAAAAATCACCATTGTGAATAATAATGAAAATTACAAAAAAATATATATATATTCAGATGTGTTATGGTAATAATGAGGGACAAATTGTTTAATTGTCATAAAATTAATTTCGCAATGCAAAAAAAAAAAAAAAATGTCAAAGTACGCTTTGTTTTCTTTATGCAAATAATATTTTGTATTTATTTTACTCTTGATTTTAGGGGGGAATGTGGCCTATGCATGTTTTTGTGCGATTCTCCCAAAAACGTGTTACTCCTTTGCAACTCTTTCATTTTCATGATTAAGGGAAGCCCTGTTAAAATGAAAAAAACGTTGATTGTCCTCTTTGGTTGGTTATTTGAGAAGATACGTTTTTTTTTTTTTTTATATATATAAGAAAATGACTTCCTCTTCTTGGGTTTATATCTTGAGTTAAACTTCCCTCATTCCCTGTGTTCAATGAGTTTACTTCAAGTTCTCAAGTAAGGACAAAACCATAAATGGCAATCACATGGAATAATATGCTGTCTTTTTTTATCTAGCCAGCTTTATTGGACTCTAAAACAAGCGTTCATTATCCCTTTATTTTTCCAAAAATCATGTTTGTTTTTTTTCCTCTTTTCTAAATCAGATAAGAACGACTCGTGATGCAATCAGCCAGCACTTGAAATTCAAGTTTCACAAAGCAACAGATGTAAGAAAGGGAAATTGGTCCGGCACTTGTGTCCCACGGCCCGTTTTCACTCCGAAGGTTAAGCTAATGCACCTTTTGAATCATATACAGTATGCTTTATTTTGTCTAATGCGAGGTCATTCACCGTGGCCTTAAAATTACTGTAGCAACAATTCGTCAGACAATATCAAGGTGGTCTTATTTACGAAATCAGTTTGTCTGATTCTGTATAGTTTTAAATTCATAACAGTATGCCATTTGTGTGTTTATATTAATCAAAACGAGTAAAGAATACTGGAATCAAATCTTGATTTGTCAGTGGAAACAGATGTTCGACTTGTAATGCCTTAACTCTCCATTAGATCACTAAGCTGTCAGATGGTTCGAGAAAGTGATTTTGGCACTGGCTTAGGCATGCCGTACTGTGGACTGGAGAGCCCCTGTTAATGTGCAGTTGACATGCCTTCTTGTTAGTTGCCATTTAATATGGAGTTGATTGTTTTGCAAGTGCCAATATTGATGTTTCGAGACATAACGGTGATGTTCATGTGTCCAGGAGAGAGTGGAAAGATGATATGGTTTTTAATACTGGTGTTTTGTCCATTTTTCAGTGTTTGACTTTTTAAATCGATATGGTGATGACGAAACATTTGCCATCTCTATATTTGTGATATTAATGAAAATAGTGCTGTGCCATGGAGAAAAAAAAAAAAGATTTTGTTATTCATAAAAGTTTAAAGAGCAGCTTGAGTGTTATTTGATTCTTAAAAAGCACAACTGATTTTTCTCTTTTGTACTTGAATCAAACCCTGTATTTTATTCCGGTATTATTTCCAGTAGTAACATGGTCTGTGTATACGTTATTTGGGTTGTCTTCTACAAAATGAGTTAACATAAATCATTATGAAAGTCTTTAAAGGTATTTTTACCTTTTTGAACCAAAAAAAAAAAAAATCTAATTTCGTGAAGAAATGAAAAAAAAAAACCCTCAATGTCAGTCATTCAAAATATGACTTAAAATCCACTGTTTCTAAGAAATGAAGAAACGTCAACGAACTTAAGCCTAAGTTTATGCGTGAGCACATAGAGTCTGTCAGCGTTTGAAACTGATTAGAAAATGTTACTGAATCGCATGTCTGACTTGGTACATTCTCCGAGGTCTGACTATTCATCAATCTCAGTAGGACTTCTCACACTACTCTGCTTATGCAACAGGACCAACCCAGGCCCATGTTTTTCAGAGGTTATGTAATATTCTTGGTAGTGCTTGTTTTGAATAATACGCCGCCTTTTCAATATTCTCACAGATGCATGAGAGGGGCCACAAATGCATTTCTCTTAACGTGTAATTGTTGAATTAGAAACATGTAATACTTCTTTGTTCTCCAGAACAAAAATGTGATAGTGGGTAGGCTTCAGTGCTTGTAGCTTTGTGAATTGTTTCACTTGTGTATCATCTACAATGAGCAAGTAGTCCGGTTCCTCATAGCCTATGTTAATGTGCTCTACAACAAGTCTTTTCATAGGTACTCGGGGCATTATTAAGAAAAATGAAGACGAATTAAAAACTCGCTGCCTTAAAACTTAGGTTGCGCCTATTCTTAAATTTATTTGAACTATTATGGCTCCCTCTAGCGTTACATAAAGAACTTTTTATTATTATTTTTTTTTTTTACAAAGATGAAATGCCCTATGCAAATAATATTTAACCAAATGTTAATACATTTAAACAGAAAACCACAAATTTAATTTCAAGTCAGTGGGAAAATGTAATATATAACTTAAAATAACTAAGAGCCATAAAAACTAATTGGTCACTATTTTTGGATACAGTGATACACTATTGGGTACCTAAAAGGTACATATTACTTTAAACATACACATTACCTAAAGTTGTACATATTACCTTTTGGCTTTTTTTTCTCCTGAAAATGTAGTGTTTTTTTTTAATGCAAAGATGTTTGGTAGTTTATATGTTTCTAAACGGGACTTTTATTTTAATCCACCTTATTTTTCCCGTAAGTAGGGACGGGCGATACCTCTTATTTTATTTTCGATCCGATACCAATATTTTCAAGCCCAGTATCGTTGATATCGATACCGATACCTCTAAACTAAACTGATCTTTTAAATTATGAAAAGAATATAATCAGTAATTATACTCTCTTAATTTTAGATTTTAAAGCCTTTTTTTTTATTTTTTACATTTTATAGGCCTTTTTTTGTTTACACTGTCAGAAATAAAATATACTATAATTGTATTTTAGCCCTTTACTGGGGCAGTAACCTCAAAGGTGCAACTATACCCCTAAAAGTGAGTATATTAGTACCATACAAGTATGCATGCTTAAAGGGTTGATAAGTTACAAAGGTGCACCTTTGAGGGTACCTCAAGAAAAATAAACATGGTGTTACATAAGTACTAAAATGTATTATTATTATTACCATGGTAAATTTGTGGTTACTGCAGTTTTACTACAAATACTGTGTTAAACTGTGGTTACTGTAATAAAACCATGGTTAATTTTTTGTAAAAGGCTGCCAGGCTGTTGTACCCCTAAAGGTGAAACTTTAGCATATTTATTTCTGACGGATTTATTAACCGCAATTACAGAACATAACACAATCCATTTGAACTTTTAACAACCAAATATTAAATAAGTTTACTTGCACAAACTAGCCAATTTAAAATAAATATTACATGTACACAAAAGTTTGGGGTCAGTAAGATTTTGTAATATTTTAAGTCTCATGCTCATCAAGACCACTTATTTGAGAAAAACAACAACAAAACAAAACAAAACAAAAAAAACAGTAAAAGCAGCAATATTGTGAAATATAACAATTAAAAAGAACTATTTTCTATTTTAATATGTAATTTTAAGATGTAATTTAAAATGCATCTGTGATCAAAGCTGAATTTTCAGCATCATTAGGCCTACTCCAGTCTTCAGTGTCACATAATCCTTTAGAAATAATTCTAATGTCATTTGATGCTCAAGAAACATTTATTATTGCTGCTTCATATTTGTGTGGAAACCGGTAATGCATTTTTCAGAATTAATTTGATAAATAGTAACAATGTTGCAATGGTTTCTTAATATCTACTTATGCTTCTGGGTAGGGTTGCACCAGCCATTCGTAAGTTCTTACTTAAATTAGAACGTTAAGTCCACACTAGAGGCTTAGTAACTACTAGCTAGTTTGTAACTAAATCTATGCATTATTTGGTTGCAGCAGTTGTTCGTAAGGCAGGACGTAGTAAGTAGTTCGTAAGCTCTCCATAAAGTAATGCTTAATCGCATAATATGACGTTTACCCTAAATCATCCAATAGAAACCTTCAAATACGCGAGCAGAACTTGTTTAAATGCTATGAATTTTGAATTTTAACTTCTTTTGCCTCACGTATACTAACGGTAAAAATATAAACAAGTTTCCATTAAAAACGATACATTAATAACATTAGTCTATATGTAAGCTATTTTATATGTAAATAACATTCAGAAACTGCCATTGAAATAAATAAGGATCAATAAATACCGTCCGAAAGAAAAAAAAAAAACATAAGAAATGCCATTTATGTATTATTTCATCTGACATGCACAACACGGACCGAAGCGCAGAGGTAGATGGGGTGTTGAAGACGCGCTAAAAAAGAAACAAAGTACGTTTATTCATATATTGTTCTTTCTCTTAATATGTACGTGAGTGTAAATGTCAGCAGAAACATATATGCCTAAAGGATTGCAGGTTGTCGGGTAAAAGAAGAACATTGATGCAGTTCACTCAGTCTGCTATTTTATTCCAACCGTTACTCCTGACCAGACGCTTCCGTAAATATTTAGTTTATACGTAGAGTTACACTTCAACTAAGTGTAATGGTGCAACGAAAAAATATTTAGTAGTGCATAAGTTGTAACTTAGTGCCCATTTACGTCAAAACTAGGCTAAGCTGGTGCAACCGGCCCCAGGATATGTACGTAATAACGGGCCCCTGATGTGTAGCAGGATTATAGACAATTTTCTCCTGGTATTACTAGACTTAATAGACTTGAGCACAAAGGCTAAACTCCAATGATTTCACACTGAAATCAAAACTGACCTTATCTACAGTATGTATGTGTTCCTTTTGCTATTGTGAATTGTTAATGTGCACATTATAAGTCAATAAATGTCTATCAAAAAATACAAGAATTACTTTTACTTTTCAACCCCTTCCTATCAATCACATGCTTCTGCTATGTATCCCCCCCCCCCCCTTTCAAGATCGAAAAA